GAGGAAAGGGAATCTAAGGAAATATTAGTCTGTGTCTTCATTGAAAAGATTAATATTCTTCGCCAGTCAGATTTATTCACAAGAGGCAGTACAGCGTGGAAGTCGAGAGCAGGGGCCCAGGGACCAGCGTGAATCCCATCTCTGTCATTTCCTGCTAATTACCTGCTAACAAAAGTATGGAAATGTCAGCTTTTTGCACATCCTCATGCACAAAGTAGGAGCTTTGTAACATTACAACTGGACTACAAACACCTTGAGGGCAGTAAGACATAAGATCTAAATCTAAAGCTTTTTTTAAATTTTTGCTTTTATTATTATTTTTAACTTGTACATATTTATGGGGTATTGTGTGATACTTTGATACATGTATACAACGTTTAATGATCACATCAGGGTAATTAGTATATCCATCAACTCAAACACTTATCATTTCTTTGTGTTGGGAACATTCAAATTCCTCTCTTCTGGCCTTTGATACATGTATACAACGTTTAATGATCACATCAGGGTAATTAGTATACCCATCAACTCAAACACTTATCATTTCTTTGTGTTGGGAACATTCAAATTCCTCTCTTCTGGCTATTAAAAATATACAATAAATTGTTGTTAATTATAACCATCCTACAGTGTTATGGAACACTAGAACTTATTCTTCCTATCTAGGCGCAATTGTGTACCCATTAACCAACCTCTCCCTATCCCCCTCTCTCTCCTATCCTTTCCAGCCTCTGGTAAACACTTTTCTACTCTCTACTTCTAAGAATCAAATTTTTAGCTTCCACATATAAGTGAGATCATGCGGTATTTCTCTTTCTACACCTGGTTTATTTCACTTTACACAATGTCCTCCAAGCTCATCCACATTGGTGTAATGACAGAATGTTGTTATTTTTTAAGGCTTAATAAGTATTACATCGTGTATATATACCATATTTTCTTTATCCATTCATCTATTGATGAATGGATATTTTGATTCCATATCTTGGCTACTGTGAATAGAGCTGCAACAAACATGGGAGTGCAGGTATCTCTTTGACATACTGCAAATTCAAAGCTATTTAACCCCTTCGTACTTTAGTTTCCTTGTCTATAAAATGGAGATAAAATCACCTCATGGGCTAGTTATGAAGACTAAATATGTCGTTATATACAGAGCACTTAGAACAATGCCAGGCATACAGTTAGCACTCAATAAATGTTAGCCATTATTATTTATGTTACCCGCCTGGCCCCTAAGCATTTGAGTTTGCGACCAGCACTAAGGGTTCCAGAACTATGACGAAGGAGTCCTCCTATCCAGCTGAGAGGGTGATGTGCTGTCCATGAACATCACGGTGGGGGCTGTGGCCTCCCCATCCCAAGAGAGAAGATAAACAGGCCCACTTCATTTCCCTGGGCAGCAGGAGAAACGCATCCATTTCATTCTCCGAATAAGCTGAACCTTAAGCCACTTACTCACCTACATGCAAATGAGATATTGTCTTTGCTGGCCCCAATGTGCCCTACCTGGGAGAAAACCCAAGGCTCCCTAAGAGCAATCTGGATTTCTTGTCCTACAGCTGACCACTGCTGATGCTCAGAGACTCACTGGCACCACCCAAGGCCATGGCATTTCCCAAGCCCTTCTCCACATCCTTCTCACCACATCTTCAATGGAAATCCAGTGGACTCCAATCAAGAAATAACACTGGACCAGATCAAAGGTCCTCAAACATCTTTATCACAACCTGCTTGAAGAAGATTAAAGACCCATCCCTCCTAGACCAATCTCCAACCCACTCTGCAGTGAAAACGGGATCAGTGGAAGCACAGAATTAGAGAGGAACAGAATGGCATGACAGCACAGCAGGGGCTTGGTCTCATCACTGCTGTATGTCCAGGACTTAGAGTAGGGCCTGGCACATAGCAGGTGTTCAGCAAATATTTGCAGAATGAATGAACACACACTTGCAAATTAACTAAAATAAAACCAAGAAGTAGAGGCTTCCTTCTGCAATAAGCATGGGTCACGCTCTCACTCTCTTTCTGCTGCCATCTTGGTTCGACACTCCCTGCACAAAATGCCACAGAAACTGTGTCCCTGCTACACAGCAGGAATTGCCACAGCCCCAGGCTAAGACAGAGTCTGGAAAAGAATCTGACAGTGATGAATCAGCACCAGAGTTCGAGGAACAAGATTCTACACAGGCAATGACACAACTAGCCCAGATTATGTCCAAACTGGGTCTTCAACAGGTTACAGGGTTTACTAGAGTCACTATCTGGAAATCTAAGAATATCCTGTTTGTCATCACAAAACCAGATGTCTATAAAAGCCCAGCTTCAGATACCTACATAGTTTGGGGGGAAGCCAAGATCGAGGATTTATCCCAGCAAGCACAGCTAGCAGCTGCTGAGAAATTCAAAATTTGAGGGGAAGGTGTCTCAAACATTCAAGAAAATACAGACTCCAACTATACAAGAGGAGAGTAGATTTATCCCAGCAAGCACAGCTAGCAGCTGCTGAGAAATTCAAAACTTGAGGGGAAGGTGTCTCAAACATTCAAGAAAATACAGACTCCAACTATACAAGAGGAGAGTGAAGAAGAAAAGGTTAACGAAACAGGTGTGGAATTTAAGGACACAGGATTGGTCATGTCACAAGCAAACACGTCTAGAGCAAAGGCAGTCCAATCCCTGAAGAACAACAGTATTGACACCGTAAATGCTACTATGGAATTAATGATGTTATCATCTGACAGTGAGGACTGTTTAGGTGTTTCAAAAGAGTAACCACGGCTTGGCTTGAAATTTGTACTATTTCTGTCATTAATAAAGTTATGGCTTCTTGTTGGATAAAAAATAATAATAATAATAAAATAAAACCAAGAAGTAATTCTCCTAATTCATTAATTACTAACAGCACAGCAGCAATGAATACCCAGAACCAACTAAAGAAAACTCTGACTATGCAGTGGTAACAGAGCTTCCTCCTCCTGAGCGTGGAAACTCTTAGTTTTGCATACTACCTGCACATAGTAGGAGCACTGCAATGAGAACCAGACTGCTAAGACTTGAGGGCAAGCAGTAGCTGCTGGTGGTGAATACTACCAGCTTTGGGTGCAAAAATCCAAGAGCTGTCATTTCCCAACTCTGTGACTTTGGCCAAGTCCCTTAGTCTCTCCAAACCAGTTTTCTTCATCAAGAAAATGGGAGAAATCGTAGCGCCCACCTCGTAGGACGGAAATGAGGACAGGACAATGGATGGACGTGTGATCACCCAAAGCAGATATAACCAGATCCTGACACTTCTTTGCTCGATGCTCTGTGATAGCTCCATCCAGAGCAAAAGCCAGAGTCTTTCCTTTGTCAGGCCCTGCGTGACTGGCTTGTCTCTGGCTCCCCTCCAACCACGCTGGCCTCTGACTTCCATTCCTCTCTTCCTCCTGCTGGACTTGGAAGACTTTAATTTCAAATATCCACATGGCCCCCCACTTCCTTGGGCCTTCATGCAAATGTCACCTTCTCAATGAGAACTTCCCTAATGGGTCTCTTTTCACATTGCAATCCCCGTCCTTCCTTTGTTTTATTTTCTTCTTGGCACTTATCATCCACCAGACAATATAGATTTTCCTTATGTATGGAATTAATTGTCTGGCTACCACCATCTCTCCCGATTTGAAAGTAAGCTCTGTGAGGGTAGGGATTTTTGTCTGTTTTGCTCAATAAATGTTGAATGAATGAAAGCAAGCACTGACTGTCAACTATTATGATTACTATTATCAAATCTCATTAACTTTGTCTCCTCATGCCTGGCACAAGTCTGCACTTAGTAGGTGCCCAGTAATGATAATAAAAATATATAACACTTATTGAGCATTTCCTATATGCCAGGCAGTGTTGTGAACACGTTTATGGGTTTAAACCCATTAATCTTCACAATAACCCAATAAAGTAAGGACTTTCATTATCCCCATTTTACAGGGATAAAAACTGAAGAACAGAGAGTTAAAGAGTTTACCTTAAGTCACACAGCCAGTAAGTGGAAGACTCAGGATTCAAATCCAGCCAGCAGGCCCTATCACTGCAATATTTAGCCATTAAGCCAGGCTGGTCCTTTAAGTCAATCCTATTAAAATGTTAGTTATACATGTTCGTCCATTAAACTTACTATCCTGGGTAAGGAGCATAGGACATGATTCCAAATCACTTTACAAAGGTGTAATTCTGCAACCTGGGGATTTTTGCCACTTCTCAAACATTTCAGCTGGTCCCTTGGACAAGACTGCCCCTTGTGCCAGGGTCTCAGCACAAAACACTGCTACCCTGGCATGGGCTCAGATAACCCAGAAACACTCACCAGGGCTGGGGACGGGGCTGTGGCTGTCATCACTACTGTTCCGAACAGATTCAAAAACAGCCCAGAGAAATTCTTTAGGGGGCAAAGTTCCAGCCATATTGGAAGCTGTTTGTTGAAGGGTATCAGGAAACTATGTGAGTTAGAGGAGATAAAAGAAGAGGAACAAATAATAATTAAATCACATTAAACAGAGATTTAAATCAGAGTTTAAATTGTAACACTACTTAGTGCCTAAGTTTGTTTGTTTTTTTCTTTATGGTCGCTTCTCTTATAAATTTAATCCCTAGCTGAACTAACCTGGTCTCTACAAAGACCCCTATAAAATGATACTCTACCTCAATAATAATCCAAAAAA